CCTGGGGGGCCCGCGGGGACGGCGGCGGGTGGGAAGGGGCAGGCCCGGGCTGGGGGTGAGGGCAGCCGGGGCCGGGGAGAGGCTGGGCTGCGCTGCGCTGTACCGGTGTAACCCCCACACACACCTCGTCCCGCAGCGCTGCTTGTACGGCCCCTGGAGCAGGACTGCACGGTGTCCAAGATGCTGCGCATAATGCAACTCCTGTCGCGGATTGAGGAAGGCGAGAACCTCGGTGGGTCCCCAACCCTCACAGTAAGGCGCTGGGGGAACCCCAGAGCAGGCTCACATCCCTCTGCCCCAGCTGGAGTGTGCCCTGCTCTGTGGCAGTGCCCCTGCGGCTCCCAGGAGCTGTCTTTCTGCACAGAGCAGGGCTCTGGGCTGAAGCTGTTAAGCTGTAGGAGCTTTCCCCTGAGGGTGAGGGGCCGGGGAGCGTGGCCATATCTGTATCGTGTTGCAGTAGCCGTGAGCGGTGTGCTTGAACCCAAGCTCCAGGGCTGTCCTGCTACCAAACGGACCAGCCTTGTGACTTCTGCTCAGCCTCGCGGCTTCTGAAGTGCTCCCCCAGATCAATTATTTGTAGTCAAGTGGTGCTTCTGCACCTTTCCCTGCCTGGACGGGGGATCGTGCAGTTTAGACGTTTGGCAATGTCTTGTATTTCTTCTCAGTAGCTCTAGAATTTGCAGTCAGAATGAGCGAGTCACTAACTGCGTAAGGCATCCCTGTGAGCGCCTCGCGAATGGGCGCCTGTGAATTCTTGCAGATTGCACCTTCGATAAAGAGTCAGAGCTCACCCCTCTTGAGTCAGCAATTGGTGTCCTGGACCTCGTTCAGAGAGAATTCTCTGTGGCTGAGAAGACGATGGAAACTGTTCAGAAGATGGTGAAGGAAGCTGTAAGGCCTTTTTCAATAAACGCTTTGCTCGTCTTTTGTATTAAAATGGTCTTGTGCAAATGGCAGTGGGAATTCCCTCGTGTGTAGAACACCTGCCTTAGCACTGACTTGGCCGCAAACGTGCATCTTCAGCGTATGTGCTTCTTCATCAGTTAAAGCAGGAAATGTTTTTTTCTGTGGAAGTTGTTTTCCAAAGCTGATCTAGAGGGCACGGTCAGTTCAGTGTCAGTAGAGAAACTGTTATTTGTTTTCTTCTGTAGGCTGTTGTTGTCTGCATCAAAAACAGAGAGTTTGATAAAGCCTTCAAAATTGTCAAGAGGCATATGGGGAAGGAGGTCAAAAACCAGGTGGGTCTGTGTTAGAGTGAGAGATGGCTGCTTTGGGGATATTTGGGGGTGGTCTGATATGTCTTACGGGGTACTGGGGTGGGCCACTTGTGACCTGTATAGCAGGTGTAAAAGGTTTCCCCGAGAAGCATGGCTCCTGGGGACACCTGACCAAGAAGAAAGGGTAGGGGGATGAAATGGAAGGAGTCCCCCTTGAACGATGGGCCCTCAGTGTTACACGTTTCTAAAGCATTTTGATCGTCACTTCAGAGCTATGTCTGTCACTCAGGTTCCTTCATGTATTTTTGTGGGTCCCCCAGGCATCCACATTTATCCTCTGCCCGGAGGCAAACTCAAGCTCATGTGTAGAGCACAAGTTTGGAAGAAGGGGCTGGTTTTGAAAGCAGAAAGAGTCCCTGTTCCTATTTCTGTAAACGATGCAGTGTCTTGGGCACTGGAAGCAAAAAGTCAGAACTGCTGAAACAAGAGGGCTCTCCTGTTCCTCTGGCCTTTTCCCAACCTTGTGTCAGTTTAAATTAGTTGTGCCTGCGGAATGTCAGATAGGAAAGGCCTGATCCTCCCCCAGATCCTCCTCCCATGGTTGTCATTTACACCCTTGTACATACTCAGAGTGCTCTTACTTTTCTAGAAAAAGAGGAATGAGTTGCTGACTCTCATCCGGGAGAAGAATTTCACTCATCCAATAGTCAAAAATTTCTCTTACAAGAACTTCCAGCAGAGCGTGTTTCAGTTCCTGGAGACCTATGTGGATGATTCGGAGCCACTGCTGCTGACGGTACTTGTCTGTCCTGCTCGCCTGGCCGCCCATGCTGCACTGCCTTCTGCCCTGGCTAGGGGCAGCAGGAGGGTGCCACGAGGTGCAGATTTGGGGAGAACTGCCTCTTATTTTGCCCTGAGACAATGAAATACAGTAATTTGGCTTCCACATGCCTTCTGTGCTAGTAATGAGTTAGAGTTTAGACACCTAATTAGCGGGTTGAATCCAAAATAGTTGAGTCTGTTCCTAAAAGATTTATGCAGGTAAACACATTTTTCAACCTGTGTAACAAGTTCTAATTGATAGACTCTGTACGTGGTGCCGATTGAACTGCAAGTAGCAGCTTAAAATGCCTTTGGGGAGGGGATAAAATCAGATGGTAGCACAAGGAATCATCTTCATAATGGTTACGTGGTTTTTTCCTCTGTCCAAGATAATGAAAAAGACTTTGAGTTCAGAATGTGCCAAAGAATCAAAATGCTTATCAGTGACTCCTGAGTCTACAAATGGGTCAAAGGACCAGGCAGCAGCTCTGGAGCCCTTGGGGAGGGCAGAAGGCGCAGCAGAAGCTCTGGAGCCCACAGAGACAGCAGAAGAGCTGGAGGGAGCTCCCAGCCCTGCAGAAAGGGCAGACAAGCCAGCAGCAGTTCCCAAGGATATGAAAAGAGCTACTGACCCAGCAGCAACTCCTGAACGTATGATAGCAGCGGTTCATATCTCAAAAGATGCTTCAGAGCCTATGGAAATGCCTAAAGAACCAGCAGCTACAACTCCAGAACCTCCAGGAGTGCCCTCCCGGGACTCAGAAAGGTGGGCAGAGGAGTCTGGCCCTGCGTGGTGGGTGAAGTGTGGCAGCAGGTCTCTTCCGAGGGGTGGTTTGCTCAGTCCAGGCCGCTCGTAACTTCCGCGAGTGCCAGCCCAAGCAGGTCTGCCCAAGCAGCCCCAGAGGCTGTTGGTGTGACTCGTCTGAACACAGTAAAATTGTTAAGGTGGCTTGTTTTTTTCCCGAGGATACTACTAGAAGTAGGTAGTGTGAACTGGGGAGGGCGGGCAGAGGCTGCTGTCACGGAGCAGCGTTTGGTGTCTGTATGGTTCAGGCCTTGGGCGAGCACAGCAGGGCATCAGGGTGCCTGGGCACGTTCTCTCAAGGCCTGCTTCCTCAATAGACTATTTACACCCTAGGGCCCGTTGCTGAGGGTCACACTGTAAGGGAGAAGCCTCATTTCGGTGAAGTGGAGCCACCTTGGTGATTTCTTTACAAGCTGCTCGGTTCTGTTTGTTTTGTAGGCTGCCCTCTGGAATTGCAACCATGTACGGGATTTCTGTTCTGAGAGAAGCTTTCAAGATCCTGTCAGACTCCGAGGATTCTGATGCACTCTTCACCAAACTGGATGAAACAGACTTTTCTTTCCCCAAGCAACTGTCTCCTTCTGTATCCCACAGAACGAAGAAACAGAAAGAAGAGGAGAATCAAGCTTCTGAGATCTCAGTCCCTCCTGAAATATCCCCTAAGGGCAAACACTTGCTGACCATAAGCAGTCTGGTCATGGATCAAGACAACGAGTACTGCGAGTCAAGTGAGAGCCCAGACTCTTCCCAGGAGCCAGTTGTATCTTCTGCTTCCAGACCCGTTCAGAAGTTGCATGACCAGCCTGTGTCTACTAAGAGTGCCAAGTATGAAGCCCATCTCTTGTGGTATATTCTAATCTGCACCCAATCTTTTGACTTGCAGCTGACAGCGGTAGCATGAACAACAGAAACTTTTTATCTTTAATTCAGGATGAGTATATTAACCATCCTTGTCTGCTGGTGTATGTGCAACGCTCTGTTCTCCTCACATTTCACTGTTTGGTTAGCGGAGGGGAGAAAATGACCCTGCTGCTGCTGGCAGTGGGTCGGAGGTCCTGCAGGTAGTGTCGTGTAGTATCACAGGTAGCACGTGTTCCTCTGCACATTGGGTAGCGATGCTGAAGCTGGAGAGAGCTTGAGGGTGCATCTTGTGGAACAAATTAAACTCTTCTTTCCACCTCTTGAGAAATACAACACTGACCTCGTTTAAGCTCTTTAACAGAAACCTGTGTTGGTTAAGAAACTCCTAATTGTAGCTTTTCATAAGAATTTCCCACAGAAAAGGGCAAAGGAGGCTTACTGGCAGAAGTCCAAAATCAACACTGATATGAGACTCTTAAGAGTCTTGTGAGTGTCTCCTGTAGACGGTAACAAAGGTGTAACAAAGCTTTCTGCTTAAATGTCTGAGTTGCTCTTCTTTTGCTTAGTGAAGTTGTGTAGCAAGCCAGCAATAATGATGCTTTGGATCCTGAGGAGTAAAACTGGGAGGACTGAGGAGAGCTTGGTACGTTTGAAAAGACAATTAGAACACCATTTCTCTTTAGTTCTTGGCCTAAGAATGTCAGGAACACACAGGTTTGGTTTTAAAGGGCGGGCAGTAAAGGCCTCAGTGCCTTGGCTGCTCTGGAGCTGGATCGTCCTTCCCTGAAGCTCAGGAGAGTGGCTGCAAGTAGGGACGTGCCGCAGCGCGGCAGGCAGCGACAGAGAGCGGCGAGATCCCGGATGCCTTCCCGGTGTCATGCTCAGGTTAAACTAGTTGTCAGACATGCTGCTGAGAAGGGATTTATACCCCTGCTGTTGTCCACTTCCTAGAGTCCTCTGGGAGTTTTAGTTAAAATATTTCCTCCTTTTTTTTTTAAAGACTTGAGTGATGACACTTGATCTCTTCTGTTTATGGCTTTTTTTTTTTCTGGCAGTACATTGTAGCTGACGTTGCTGTCCCTAGAATAGGTCTGGAGTTTATTTTGAGGATGCTGGAGATCGTTGTGGGGATGGGATGATGTTCTGTGAACTCCTCCAGAGCAGAGCGCTGTGCCTGACCACCGAGGGGAGGGGTTGGACACTGACTTCTGTGGGACACCCTCCCGTCCCAGGCCGGGTGCCGAAAGCAAGGGTTGGTGCCCGGGAAGGAGCCCGGAGCGGGGCTGCTGCCGCTGCCTTGAGCAGTTCTTGAGGTTCAGCCCTGCCGCTGTGCAGGCTGGTGTCCGGTTCACCTGGGCAGTGATACATCGTCTGTGCTGCTCGTGCGGGCGTCTTGGCTTGAAGCCTTAACTTCAGGGCTCGTGGTAGCCGTGGTGCCGATGACACCTCTGGAAATCCAGTTCTGTGCGTCTCTGCCAGTAGCTGGTTCTCAAATCTCGTGCAGGAAAGAGGCAACTTCAAGTAAGAATAGAGGACAGTTGCTTTCCTGCTATCATAAATGGCTTCAGTTATATTGGAAGCAACAGCCAGGGCTGAGCCTTTCAAAGTTGTTGGGGTTTGGGTTTGGGTTAGTTATTTTTTTTAAGAGACTTAATTTCATCTCACAGGTTTGTGCTTGAGGATTGGAAGCAGGTGGTAGCATTGAGGCGCTTGATTTCATGGAGATGCCTCTTGTGTTTGGTTGACCTCAGTGCTGCTAGTAGTGAAACAGAGAGAAACACATCCTGGGAGGGCTAAAGACTTCTCCCCTGAGCTGCTGCCAAGTCTGTGCCATACACGAAGGCCTGGAAAGTCCAGCTCTGTGTGTCTGTTTGCTCCAAGTGCTTAATTGTGTACTTAATACACAGTCACTTGTTTTTTGCAAATGGCTGGCTACAAAATACTCCGCCTGTATTTGAGTTTATATTGCAGCCACACCTTTAGATAGGGGCTCCTAAGGATTCATCCCCCTCAGAGGGGAGTGGAGCAGGCGGTGGCGTGTTGATATTTTGCTTTATGGGCACAGTTCTCCGTGCTGCACGCTCAGCGCAGGCTTGTCTGCTGTGCTCCAGGTGTCCCAGCACCTCCTCCCCCTAAAACATTGTCCCTAGCCAGTAGCCAAAGTAAATGCTTGCCTGCTTTCAGGTCCTTCAAACGAAGGTGGAACAGCTCGTATGGTGAAGAAGAAAAAGACAGGTGGAGCGAGGAGGATGACCTCTTCTCAGGTAAGAACAGACCCCCCCTTGCAGGGGTTAACAGATGGTAATCCTGGCTTTGGGGCTCATTCATGGGTGTCTTGCTACCTTCTGCGTGCCTGAATTTTGAAACCAGAAATCCTAAAAGCCCAGGAAAATAGGTAGCTGTGGAACTCTGAGATACTTGTTCTTTGTTCCTCTGACCTGAAACGCCTGCCAGAAACTTCCTGTTGGAGTCTCAGGCTAAGCACGCTTAGCTCGCAGGATGTAAATGTTGAAAATGGAGCTCCTTCCCCGTTCCCATTTTGGTGCTGTGAAATAAAGGTTAAGTTTTACCTTCTGAGCCAGATTAGTTTTCCGGTCCAGCCCCCTTTGCAGCTAGATGTGCAGCTTAGCTGGTGGAAAGGTGTGGACAGTGGATGTCTGATTCCAGCCTCAATGTACAGCGTAGCCACGTCCTGGATGGATCCCCCCGTTCTTGACTATTGGCTCATTTAAAACAAAACAGATCTCATGGGAAAGCTTTCACGGAAAGCAGTTGAGGCTTGAAACGGAAAGGCTGTGTATGCTATAGCTGCAGAAGAGGGAGGGAGAAAGGAATTTGGTTTTATTGCCAGTCATGGGATGCTGTTGTAGACTGACTGCAGTTCAGCAGCTCGAGGCAGGGCTCTCGAGGAGGTTTGTACCTCCCGACTTATGGTGAATGTAACCCTCTGGCCTTGTTTTTCAGCATCGTTTGAGTCAAACGACCACAACACGACAGTCTTCGGTTCCAAGAAACAGGTAAATCCGGAGCCTGAAATCGGGTTGTGTCCTTCTAGAAAGCAAAGTGCTGGAGGGTTTGAAGGAAGCTGGTGAGGGCGGGGGCTCAGAGGCCTCCCCAGGAGCCTGCAGCTGGCTGCAGCAGGGCGAGCTGCTGCCCTGGGTTAAACGAAGCCCGGCAGGCCGGAGCGTGCTGCGTCCTGAGGCCGGGGCTTGCAGCATCCCGCCTCCACCCGAGCCGTGCAGGCCCCTGCCTTCACAGAGCGGCTGGAGTTTCTCTGTTGGACCAGCCCGGTTTGGTAGTTGGCTGGGGGACGTGTGTGGAGTCCCTTTCCTGGGGGGCGTGTGGCTTGGCGCCAGCTTTGCCGTGTTGCCCACGCGCCGCAGAGCTTCGGCATCGCGTTGGGGTGAGGGACGCGCGCGGCAGCTGTTGCCAGGGAAAAGGGCCGGATTTGGTGCTGCTAGGAACTCCCTCCCCTGCTGGCTGCCTGCCGTACGCCGCGGAGCGCTGGGCTCCCTGCGCGGGTTATTTCACATTTTGCTTCTAGTACAGAAATTCAGGGAACCTGCAGACCTAAACTCACAGATAATTTTTTTTTTTATTTTAACACTCTACCTGTATGCTGTCAGGCAGCTAGTACTCTGCCTCCCTGGTGCTTGTTGCTCCAAATTCCTCTTTTCCTTGATCAGTGTTGTGGTTTGGGAAACAAAACAACTCCTGAGCTGTGCTGGAACTCAGCGCTTCTCTTATTTGTCACAGTTACGTGGGCAGATCTGTGGTGAAGGGAGGACGGGGCACTGTGTGTGCCGGGGCAGGCCAGCACGGCCTCTCCCCCGCGCTGCCGGCACCGAGGGTGAGGGGAAGCTCTAACGTGCCAGGAAGGAGTTGCAGCGTGGCACTCTGCCAGAGGCAGCTCCTCCCTGACACCGCTCCGGGCTGCTCTCTTGTAGAAATGGACGATACAAGAGAGCCAGTGGATCAAAGAAGGCGTGAAGAAGTTTGGGGAAGGGAGATGGAAGGCCATTTGCCAGAAATACCCCTTCCAGAACCGTACAGCTGTGATGATCAAGGATCGCTGGCGGACCATGAAAAAGCAGGGAATCCTCTAAAGCTGGGAGCCACAGGACCTTCAGTTGAAAAGCCTTTTTTTGTCTTTTTTTTTTTCCTTTTGAAAGACTGACAGGAGCAATAGTAGCAGGGAGGCTGCTGTGCTGCGTTGGGGCAGCATGATGAGCCCCTCTGGCACGTGGTGCAGATGGGCACCGTGGCGGATGGGAGCTGAGGAGGGGTAACCCCCTCAGTGGCTTTTTTATTGTTTTAACTGTCTGAAGTGATTTCGTGAGTTGCTTGTTTGATCTGTTTGCACTCAGTCCCCTGTGGGAAAGAGGCAGCACATGGTCCCAGAGCTTCTGGGGAGAAGAGATTTAGGCAAGGCGATCTGCTTACATTTACTATTTTTCACATTTCTTTCTGCTTTGTAAATGGCTGTTCTGCAAGTGGGAATTTCTCTCTCCCAGCATTAAGGCTTTAAAACCACTTCTTTCATTAAACGTTGGTTGTCCCTATATTAAAAGTTCTAGTGCTTACTGATTTTGGTCATGTCTTACTGTCACTTCTCCTTCCTGGCAACGTCCTCCTATGTGTGATCCCTGCAAGTGTCTGAGCTCTGAGGCTGCTGCATGTTCGGCAGCCAGAGCTGGAGTCCATGTCTGAGCAGTCTTCTGTAAAATAAAGTTCCTTTCTTGTTGGATTTCAAAACTTGTAGTAATTATGAGCTTGCCCCTCATGGCTGGAGATGGCAGCAGTTTGGGACACTGCCCGCTCCCTGCCCCAGGAACGTGGGGCTCCCATCGGCAGCCCGTGGGGTGGGACAGTGCTGCCCGGGGGCTGCCGGGTGCTGCCGCAGCAGCGCAGGCATGAGGCTTCAGGAGTGGGTTTTGCTTGGAGTTGACAGGCAGGGGAGGTCTGGGGGCATTTTCTAAAAGCAGTTGCTCTTGGCTGCGTTCCTGTGGGGCTGGGGAGAAGCCTGGCTGGAAACACCTGTGTCCGCTCTGTCCTTCAGCAGCAGCTGCTGGGCCGAGGGGCCCTCGGCACCTGCCTGGGGCTGGGCCTTTCCCTCCCCTTCCCCTGGTGAAACCGTTTCCTTGGGGTACTCAGGAGCACCCCACGGGGTAATTGAGAGCACCTCGTGCTTGCAGAGACCCATTCTGGAGCACGGAGGCTTGATGGGAGCTGCAAACTGGACCAGTAACTGCCAGTGTGAGGCAGAGCCCACTGGTCGTGCCCAGTTGGAAGGCGACAGCGTGAGGCTGAGCCTCTTCCCTCCTCTTGCCGGGCTCTCGCCCTTGGCCAGGCAGGGTGTCGCAGCCCGGGGCAGGCGTCTGTGGGGGAAGGATGAGGGCCCTGGTCCATCGGCCTGTTAGGGCTCTGTTATGTTCTTGAGGTAAAATATTTTTCCTGCTTAATTTGCTCGCCTAGGGGAGCGGGGTGCCGCTTCCTCGGCAGGAGGGTTCAGCTGGGTGAGCTCTGGCGTGGACAAGCCGGACCAGCTCCTGAGATCACCTTGAGGAGCCGAGCCTGTGCCACTCTGCTCGCGCCGCTGCGGCGTGGTTAATGATTACCCCTGTCCCTGCGTCCCCGCGCCCGCCTGCCCCGGTGGGACCGAGCGCCAGAGCCTGGCAGGCGGGATGCTGCTGCTGCTGCTCCTGGCGCTGCTGGGCCCCGCCGGCTGCCCCAAGACCGAGCCCCTGAGCGGCTCCGGCCAGGAGCCCCTCTTCCGCGGGGCAGATCGCTACGACTTCGCCGTCGTCATCCCCGCCGGCGCCGTGGAGTGCTTCTGGCAGTTCGCGCACCAGAGCGGCAACTTCTTCTTCAGCTACGAGGCGAGTGTTGCGCGACGCGTCCTGGGAAGCCGCTGGTGCGATGCAGCTGCCGAGGGGGTCGGGGAAGGGCTGCGCTGGGACCGTCCCACACGGCGGCCGGTGCCGGCTGCCTCCTCCGAGGGTTCAGCGGGCAATCTTCTGTCGCCTTAGTCCTGCGGCCAGGCTGACGTGCAGGAGAACCCGTGGGATGAAGACCCTGAACTCCAGACCCGCTCTCCCCGGGGCAGAGGCGGTTTGCCTTGTGTGGGGAAGGTCCTTGGTTGAGACAGGGAAGGGTTGCAGTCCCTTGGATGCTTCATCTCAGGGACTGTGCTTTTTTAGGCAATTTCCATCATCAATCTTTTTTTTTTTTTTTTTTAAATACCCATTTTAAAACCATCAAGCGGTGCTAGAGCTCTGGACATGGTGCCCGAGCACACGGTCGCAGCGAGCCGTGGGGTGTCCTGGCACCATGGGGAGCTCTGCCCTTCGCCGGGCTGGCTGGAGGCTGTTGCCCGGCCCTCGGCATTGAGCCGCAGCCGGACAGGCACAGTCCTACCTGCTTGTCCCCGCGCTCTGTCCCCTTCCCACCGGAGAAACTGCAGCCCTTTATCTCCTGTTTGCACTAGGCTGGTTGAAGGAGAGACGGGGTGGCCGTGCCTGGCGCTGGCGGCTTCCCCCAGCCCTGCCCTCGGCAGAGCAGCCCCACGGGAACACGGCCCGGCCCTGGGGCTCAGCACAGCCCCGGCTCCCAGCGCTCCTGCCGCCGGCAGCACCCGGTCCAGGTGGGCAGGAGCCAGGGTGGGACAGGGGGTGGGGGAGCACCTGCAGCACCGTGAGCGGGCGCTGGCACCCGCGGGGTTCGTTACCCAGGGCTGTGGGTCGCGGGTCTGTTTTTCTGTGCAGCTGGACGCAGTTCCCGGCCTCAGCTCACAGGAATGGGGGGAGCAGCTCCCCCCAGCCCCCAAACCAACCCTCAGTGCAGGCACGTCCCTGCCCTGCGCATGAGGGCTCCTGTGGGCTCCTGTCTGTTCTCCGGGTGCGGAGTCAGGCCCACAAGTGCCCCTCGGGTGTTTCCTGCCTCCAGGTCCAGCGGGCAACGGGGATCGGCAACAACAGGAACATCCTGGCCACAGCGAGTGACCCCAACGGCTTCCAGCTCGGCATCTCCCAGCATGTGCGAGGACAGATCAACTTCCTCACCAAGGAGACAGGTCCCTGCTGCCCCTCTCCCTGCCCATGCAGGCAGGAGCTGCAGCTCCCAGCCTGCCCTGCCAGCCAGCGCTTCCCAGAGCGTTCACCAGTCTGATCACACCTCCCTCCCTAGCGCAGAGGATGAGGGTCGAGCCCTGGGGATGTGTCTGCCTGGCAGCTGCTCTTCTACTCAGGAAACAATAATCCCCATTTATCTGCGCAGGTTTCTACCAGCTGTGCCTGGACAACCAGCAAAACCACTTTGGCTTCATGCAGGTTTACCTCAACTTCGGCGTCTACTATGAAGGCTTCAACGTGGAAAACAAGCAACCGGAAGAGAGGAAAGAGCTGAACAACACCCTGGAGGCAATCGAGGTGAGCGTCAGGGCACTCTGACGCAGCGGGACGGGTGCGTCCTCCCGTGGGAACCGTGCAGGGCTGAGCTGCAGGTCAGTTAATTCTGAGCTCAGGGGGCAGCTCTGAGCGCGGCCCCAGGCCGAGCACCCACCCACCCCTCCCACAGGTCAGCATCCGCAAGCTGCAGCTCCACATCTTCCACATGTGGCGGTTCTACAACTTTGCACGGATGCGGAAAGGGGCCGACTCCTTCCTCCTGGAGTCCAACTACAACTACGTCAACTGGTGGTCGATGGCTCAGAGCTGCGTCATTGTCCTCTCCGGGGTGCTGCAGCTCTATTTCTTGAAGCGCCTCTTCAACGTGCAAAACCCCAGCAGGCAGAGGTGCTGACAGCGCCCAGAACCGTGGGCAGGACCGCTGCCTGCAGCGCCCCATCACCCAGCTGCCACTCAGCCCCTTCGCAGAGTGGAAGGCCAGGCCCTGCTTCGAGGAGGAGGAAGGCGAGTTCCCCCCGCTCCGGCCTCTGGCTCTAGCCCTGCCTCGGCTGAAATCACCCCGAAAGAACAAAAGCGCAACACCATTGCCTGAGCCTGGTGTGCTGGGTTGTCTGTTACATCCCACCCATCATCACCGTGTCCCAACGTGCTTTTTCTACCAGACACCAAATAAAGGAACCCCTGACACAAGCCCTGGGGGGCGATCGCAGCCTCCTGCCTGCCCCATCC